AGGTGCCTGTAGTCCCAGCTACTCGGGAGGCTGAGGCAGGAGAATGGCTCGAACCCTGGAGGTGGAGCTTGCAGTGAGCAGAGATCGCACCACTGCACTCCAGCCTGGGCGACACAGAGAGACTCCGTCTCATGGTCAAGAGGAAATAATCAATAGAAGCAGACACATAGATAACCCAGATGTTGGAATAATTAGACAACAATTATTAAAATAAATATGATAGAAATCTAAATGATCTAGTGAGGAAAGTACACAAGAATTAAAAGATGGGTGATTTCAGCAAACAGTTGAAAACTGGAACCAAATGGAAATAGAAATTTTAAATATATCAGGCAAACAGTTCTACAATAGTTGGAGTCTTCAGTATATACCACTTACAATAGCAGATGGAACAGCTACACAGAATATTATTAAGGAAATAAACTTAAAACAACACTAACCAACTATACCTAGAAGACACATACAAAATACTCCATCATAAGAGCGGAATACACATTCTTCTCAAGGACCCATGGAACATTCTTCAGGATAGATCATATGTTAGATCACAAAACAGTAAATTTAAAAAGATTAGGCTGGCTGGGTGTGGCGGCTCACACCTATAATCAGGCAGAGGTGCGGTGAGCTGAGATTGTGCCACTGCACTCCAGCCTGGTGACAGAGAGAGACTGCATCACATACACACATACACACACACACACACACACACACACACACACAAACACAAATATCTAAAATCAGAGATGAAAGGGAGGACATTACTAGCAACCTTACAGAAATAAAAAGGATTATAAGATAATACCATGAACAAGTATAAAATAGCAAATTAGATTATCTAAAATGAAGTTATAAAATTTGACTCAGCAGTCAAAAACTTCCCAAAAAAAGTCCAAGACCGGATGCCTTCACTGGTGAATTCTACCAAACATTTGAAGATTAATGCCAATCCTTTTCAAACTCTTCCAAAAAATAGAAGAGTGAGGAACACTTCCTAACTCCTTCTATGAAGCCAGCTTTACCTTGATATCATAGATTTAAAAATCACAAGAAAAGACATCAAATCATTACATGCTGGGCGTGGTGACTCACGCCTGTAATCCCAGCACTTTGGGAGGCAGAGGCAGGGAGGATCCCTTGAGCCCCGGGAGTTTGCAACCAGCCTGGGCAACACAGGAAGATCCCATCTCTACTTTTTAAGTATTTTTTTTTAATCAAAAAGAAAAATTACAAAACAATATCCCTTATAAATACACAGATGCAAAAGTCTTGAACCAAATCCCATGACATATTAAAAAAAAATGGATATACACCATTATTAAAAGTTAGAATTCATCTCATGAATGCAAGGATAGTTCAACCTAAGGAAAATCAGTGTAATACACCACAGTAACAGAACAAAAAAGAAAAAACAAACACATGCTCATCTTAATATATGCAGAAAAAACGTTTGATAAAATGTAACACTCTTTCACAATAAAAACACTCACAAAACTAGGAATAGAAGAGAACTTCCTCAACCTGATAAAGGGCATTTATGAAAAACACTGCTAACATCAAACTTAATAGTTAAAAAACGAAAGCTTTCCCCTTAGAATCAGAAACAAAGCAAGTGAAAATTACAACTTTGGCTAGGTGTGGTGGCTCACACCTGTAATCCCAGCACTTTGGGATGCTGAGGCAGGAGAATCACTTGAACCCAGGAGGCAGAATAAAATTATAATTTCAGAGAAACTATTTATCTTGTATCTGCCATTGTGAGCTTGACAGCTTGCAGCAAGACCCCACCTCCAAATTTTTTTTTTTTTTTTTTTTTAAGATAGAGTCTCTCTCTGTCACCCAGGCTGGAGTGCAGTGGTGTAATCTGAGACCTGTCCTGAGACCAAAAAGTTTGAGAACCACTGCCATAGAAAAGCACCAGGACGTGTACAAAAATGGTCTTGGAAGCACTGTTTCTAATCACCACCCATTGGGAACATCTCACATACCCATCAACAGCACAATGGATCAGTACATTAGAGTATATTTATTTTATTTTTGTTTATTTATTATTTTTATTTATTTTTTTTTTGAGACAGTCTCCTACTCTCACCCAGGTTGGAGTGCAGTGGCGCCATCTCAGCTCACTGCAAGCTCCACCTCCCAGGTTCACGCCATTCTCCTGCCTCAGCCTCCTGAGTAGCTGGGACTACAGGCGCCTGCCACCATGCCTGGCTAATGTTTTGTATTTTTAGTAGAGATGGGGTTTCACCCTCTTAGCCAGGATGGTCTCGATCTCCTGACCTTGTGATCTGCCCGCCTCAGCCTCCCAAAGTGCTGGGATTACAGGCGTGAGCCACTGCGCCCAGCCTATTTTTATTTTGAGACAGAATCTTGTTCCATCACCCAGGCTGGAGTGCAGTGGCCCAATCTCAGCTCTCTGCAGCCTCCACCTCTCAGGATCAAGCAATTCTCCCTGCCTCAGCCTCCTAAGTAGCTGGGATTACAGGTACCATGCCTGGCTAATTTTTGTATTTTTAGTAGAGATGGCGTTTCGCCATGTTGGCCAGGTTGGTCTCCATCTCTTGACCTCGTGATCCTCCCGCCTCAGCCTCCCAAAGTGCTGGGATATAGGCATGAGCCACCGCGCCTGGCCACATTGTAGTATACTTATACAATATGTCATATGGCAATGAAAATTGAAAAATTACAGTTACATGCAATGATACAGATAAATCTCATGCACATATTTAAAAAGCAAAATAACAAAATATGAAAAACAGCAACACAGAACTACATTATTTCAGAATGCACATTTATACCATGAACATTTTTTATTTGTATTTATTTTTGAGACAGGGTCTCACTCTGTCACCCAGGCTGGATTGCAGTGGCACCATCACAGTTCACTGTAGCTTAAACCTCCCAGGCTCAAGCAATCCTCCTACCTCAGCCTCCTGAGTAGTTGGGACTACAGGCATGTGCCACCACGCCCGGCTAATTTTTCTTTTCTTTTTTTTTTTTTTTTTGTAGAGACAGGGTTTTGCCACATTGGCCAGGCTGGTTTGAACTCCTGACCTCGGATCAGGTGATCCGCCCGCCTTGGCCTCCCAAAGTGCTGGGATTATAGGCATGAGCCACTGCACCTGGACTCATAAAAAAATTTTAAATGTCAGATGACAAAAGGAGGCTTTCAATACAATTTTTTTCTTTGAGACAGAGTCTCACTCTGTTGCCCAGACTGGAATGCAGGGGTGCCAACTTAGCTCACTGTAACCTCGACTGCCTGAGCTCAAGCAACCCTCCCACCTCAGCCTCCGGAGTAGCTGGGACTCTAGGTGTGCACCACCACAGCCAGCTAATTTTTGTAGAGACAGAGTCTCACCTTGCTGCCCAAGCTGGTCTCAAACTCCTGCGCTCAAGTGATCCTCCTGCCTCAGCCTCCCAAAGTGCTACAATTATAGGATGAGCCACCACCCATAATTTTAAAAGCAATTTTGCACCAACATTTAAGATAATGTTAAATGTTCAGTGGCTCACACCTGTAATCCCAGCACTTTGGGAGGCCGAGGTGGGCGGATTATGAGGTCAGTTCGAGACCAGCCTGACCAACATGGTGAAACCCCATCTCTTTTTTTTTTTTTTTTTTGAGATGGGGTCTCACTGTGTCGCCCGGGCGGGAGTGCAGTGGCCGGATCTCGGCTCACTGCAAGCTCCGCCTCCCGGGTTCACGCCATTCTCCTGCCTCAGCCTCCCATGTAGCTGGGACTACAGGCGCCGCCACCTCGCCCGGCTAATTTTTTGTATTTTTTAGTAGAGACGGGGTTTCACTGTGTTAGCTAGGATGGTCTCGATCTCCTGACCTCGTGATCCGCCCGTCTCGGCCTCCCAAAGTGCTGGGATTACAGGCTTGAGCCACCGCGCCCGGCCGTGAAACCCCATCTCTACTAAGAATAAAATAAATTAGCCGGGCATGGTGGCAGGTGCCTGTAATCCCAGCTACTCAGGAGGCTGACGCAGGAGAATTGCTTGAACTCGGGAGGCAGAGGTTACAGTGAGCCAAGACTGTGCCATTGCATTCCAGGCTGCATGACAGAGTGAGACTCCTCCTTTTTTTTTTTTTTTTTTTTGAGACAGAGTTTCGCTCTTTTTGCCCAGGCTGGAGTGCAATGGTGCAATCTCGGCTCACTACAACCTCCGCCTCCCGGGTTCAAGCGATTCTCCTGCCTCAGCCTCCCGAGTAGCTGGGATTACAGGCATGTGCCACCACCCCGGCTAATTTTTGTATTTTTAGTAGAGACAGGGTTTCTCCATGTTGGTCAGACTGGTCTTGAACTCCCGAACTCAGGTGATCCACCTGCCTTGACCTCCCAAAGTGCTGGGATTACAAGCGTGAGCCACCGCGCCCGGCGAGACTCCTTAAAAACAAAAAAGTATCCCACCTCTTCGTCCAACGCTCTGTCTTCCAGCTGCCCAGGCTTCTCAGTTCTAGGCCTTTGTACATGCTATTTTTTTGTTTCTCACTTGCCCAACTCCAATTTATCCTGTAAGGTCTGAGACTACACTTCCTCACTGTTTGAGAACCTACCGGCCCGAGTGGTCTAAACGTCATGTGCCTTTGGGAAGGACTGAGCTTCTGTCTTAAGCAGCTGCAGCATGGTGGACCAGTCACTTTCCATTTCTAACCCTCAGTTTCTGCTCCTGTCAACTCCCTTCACCCTTCACACATGTCATATTTAGTGCTTCAGACAAGGGAGGTCATGCTCAAGGCAGCCTACTCTCAAATCTTCATCTAAAGAGATCCTGAATGTTCCCTGGGTCTCTGCTGGATTCTAGAACTCTCATCCTCACCCTTAGCTACTGCAAATGGATCTTGGTCTTATGCCCACAGCAATGAGTCCCAGCCCTGGCATCATTCCAAAGGAAAAATGTTATGTCACACTGGCCCAAGGCCTCTGGAATGGTCCATGAAACTCAGGGAAAAGTGTGTACACAGTAGAAAAGTGGGGTGGGCAAGGCATTACCTCCTCAGCCAGAAAGCGCAGTTTGGCCAGGAGCTTCTTGGCCAATGCCACCTTCTTTTGCACGTTGCCCCGTCTCAGGCCGCGTAGAAGTCGCAGTCCTTGTTTAGCCAAAAGGTTCTGGGAGGGCAAAAAGACAGCATGAGTGGAAGGCCCCAGCTAGGCGCCCCTGAGTCCCTTCCCAAGGCCGTACCAGGCTGTGCACCAGGAGTTTCCCTCGGCATCGATCCAGGGCATTGGGCCGGGTCATCGTCCTGCGCTCGGCACCGCGGCAAAACTGTCTGCAGTGAGCAGGGATGTGCACAGCAGACAGGAGTCAAAGGAGAGGACGCTGACCTCCCACCCCCAGCCTCCCTCATAGTCCTCTCAGTCTTGTGCTCTGAAGAGGCACCCTTTCTCCTGCAAAGATGGCCTATCTCTATTTGGACCACTCCCAAATTCATCAAGGCCGGCCTTGCTCTTGAGCTCCAGAGCTCGATAATATTTAATCATCTACTAGCCTGGCTACCCCAGGTGTGGCCCATGGACCAACAGCATTGATAACACCTGCAGGTTATTTAAAACTGCAGGACCTCAGCCCCACCCCAGGCCCTGCTGAATCAAAAGCTGCATTTATGCCCTAGGAGATTCCTAAACACACTGAAGCTTACAATGTGATGACGATGGTATGGTTTAGTCTCCACCAGGCTGGCTAACGTATAGCTTGAACATTATACTCCCAAGCCAAATGCATAATTTCCAATAACTCCCCCCCCCCCGGCAGCAAAAAACAAACAAAAAACAAAACAAAAAACCCTGTTTCACCTCAGAACTTTCAAGTCATCCTTCACTGCTCTTTCTCTCACATTCCACATCAATTCATCAGCAAATTCTTTATGCTCTACCTTCAAAAAATATCCAGAATCTGGCCACGTGCGGTGGCTCAGGCCTGTAATCCCAGCAGTTAGGGAGGCCGAGACAGGTGGTGAATCACTTGAGGTCAGGAGTTCGAGACCAGCCTGACTAGCATGGTGAAACAACTGTGTCTACTGACACTTGACACTGAAAGGTTGAGCATGGTGAGCACAGTAAAGTAACCACCTATAGCCTCCTACCTCACTGCCTCTCCTGATCAGGGTCCTTGGCTGAGTCCCTGCTTCCTCCCTATCTCTAAATGCTGGAGCGCTCCAGGTTCTCAGATTTCTTTTTTCTATGCTCCCTTAATGCTGTTATCCAGCTCCATCTACATAATGACAGCTCCCAAATTGACATTTCCAGTTTAGAATTCTCCCCAGAACTCAACTCATAGAGCTAACTGCCTACCACACATGTCCACTTACAATTCAATAAGAATCTCACAGTTAACACGTCTCAAACTGAGCTCCTACTATCTGCCTTCCCTCAGATCCCAACTCATCCCTGCTTCCATCAGACCTTCTCCTTTTGTTTTCCACTGAAAACATATTTTTTTTTCTTTTATCCAAAAAAAGATTTTGGCTTGCATAACTACGTGGTTGGTGCAGCCTTAGCCTCCTAAGGATGGCTTTGAGGACTCAAACCATCCTCCCATCTCAGCCCCCGAGTAGCTGGGACTACAGGTGTGCACCACCACACCCAGCTAACTTTTGTATTTTTCACAGAGACAATGTCTATCCATATTGTTCAGGTTGGTCTCAAACTCCTGGGCTCAGTTCATCCTCCCATCTTGGCCTCCCAAAGTGCTGGAATTCCAGGTGTGAGCCACCACGCCCAGCCCACAAGCCAAAATCTTAGCAAGTCCTGAAGTATCACCCCCAATTGCAAATTTTCTCTTGAATCCATTCACAGCACTTCATCTCCACTGCAACCATCCCCTAGATCAGTTTATCATCACCTGTCACCTGGATTATAACAGCCCCTTTAGTAATCTCTCTGCTTCCTCCCCTAGTGATCCCTTTTAAGGATCTATGTGTTAGAGTGTATCTTTTTCCTTTTCAAAACATTCACTGCCCCCTCATCTCACTCAGAGAAGCAGCCAAAGTCATTAAAATGGCTTGTGAGGCTCCCACAGGATCTGTCCCTTCCCACCATCATCCTCCTTCCCCCAGCCTCCTCCAGCCTCTTCTACTATGTCACACTGCCGCAGTCACACTGGTTCTGTGCTCTTCTTCAAACACTCCAGGCATGCTGTCCCCTCCACCTGGAACACCATTACAGGCACGGCTTGCTGCTCCTCCGCCTTCATGTCACCTTCACAGTGGCCTCCCCTCCACACCCTTTCTGAAATTGCAATACCTTTCTAATGCTTCCTTGCTTCATGTTCTTCCTTAACACTTATCCTACTTAGTATTTTTCTGTTTACATGCTTATTTTACATGTCTCCACCCATCCCCAACCTCTACACCCAAACGTAAGCTTCAGGTTTTCTTTTTTGGAGTCAGGGTCCCATTCTGTCACCCAGGCTAGAGTGCAGTGGCGTAATCATGGTTCACTGCGGCCTTGAACTCCTGGGCTCAAGATCTTCCCACTTCAGCCTCCCCCAAGTAGCTGGGACTACAGCAGTGAGCCATTGTGCCTTGCCAACTTCAGGGACTTTTGTGGGCAGGAATGCTTTTTCACTGACATTCCTATGCCTAAAACAGTGTCTGGCATAGTATGTGCCATAAATAGTTATCAAATAAAGTACCCTTTTGAGAAGAGGATCTGAAAATCACTTAAGTACCTGGAGCAGGTTATGGAATTCAGGGCAGTAGTGAAGGTCAAAGATGGAAGTAACTAGAACATGGTTTTTTGGGTTTTTTTTTTTGTTTGTCTTGAGACGGAGTCTCACTCTGTCGCCTAGGCTGGAGTGCAGTGGCACGATCTTAGCTCACCGCAACCTCTGCCTCCCGGATTCAAGTGATTCTCCTGCCTCAGCCTCTCAAGTAGCTGGGAGGAACCCACCATTATGCCTGGCTAATTTTGGTATTTTTCTCGTAGAGATGGGGTTTCACCATGTTGGCCAGGCTGGTCTTGAACTCCTGACCTCAAATGATCTGCCCGCCTCAACCTCCAAAAGTGCTGGGATTATGGATGTGAGCCACCACGCCCAGCCAAACATGTTTATGTGGTTACAGCAATGACCTGGTAACTAGGGACCAATCAATGATGACGGGGAGAAAATTGACAATTACAGAGCTAATTCCTCCAGTGATGAAATTCAGATCACAGCTGTGGTCACTGGAGCAGGCAAGGAGGAGAGCAGATGGATGCAGAAGCCAGCAAGGAGGTTGACTGAGTGTGGGAAGGTGATTAGCAGGAACAAGTGTGGAAGAAAGGAGGCGAGGAGATTTGAAAAGAGACACGGGATAAGCCTCTAGAAGTGTGGGGAAGGGAACTCATGGAGATTGAAAACAGCTGAGGTGCCAGAGGATCGGGGGAAGCCTAACCCCCAATAATCTCATCAGCTCCCTGGATAGGAATAATTGTCTTCTCATTCTTCTGTAAGGTGCAGAGCAAATGCAGCTGCAAGCCACCCTTGGGTCCAGACAGTCACCAAGAGTCTCCCTTGCCCTGGAGTTGGCCCAAGTACAGGCAGCAATAGGGGTGGCTCTCAGCTTACCTGCTCCCAGCCACCAGCTCTTCCAGTGCCTGCTTGAGCTGTGCACAGGCGCCAGGCCCCGGCCTGCGCTGCAGTCTCTCAACCTCCTGCAGCCCCTGGTCCTGCGCAACATGCAAGAGGGTCAGAGTCTTGAGAGTCCCTAACTCCGACCTCTTGTAGACCACACCCAACCCGAGGCCCCACCCACTCATGACCACACCTCTTGGCCTGCCCTTCTTTGGCTCCATCAGGTTGATGGCTCCATCTTTCTAGGCCCGTAATGGCTCTGCCAAATGTGGGACCCCACCGGCAGTATCTCTCTCCATCTCCTTCATCCAGCCCCTTCCTGGGTCCAGCAATTCTGAATTTCTGTCCTCCCACAACTCTTGGCATCCTCAGTTCACCCAGAAGCTGTGCTTTTTGGCCCTTGCTGCCCCTGGCCTTGCACCAGCAAGGTGCTGGCTCTCTAGTGCCTGCCCATTAGCCCCACTGCAGAACTCCCTTCAAAGGCTGCGGTGTCCCAGCCATCCCTATGGCCCGGTCTCTCCCTTTGGGCACCGGCCTTGCCCTTACCAGCCTCTCGGCCACTTTGTGCACGCAGTTACTGCTCTGCAGTCGCCAGGTGTGGTCCTCCCAGCGACTCCACACATGCACACATGGCTTGCGGTGACGGAGGGGCAAGCAGAAGTATGGCCTGGCAGGTGGAGAGGAGGCTTCACGGGCATTCTGGGCTCCTGAGGACCTCCCAAACCCCCCTTCTAGCCACTGGGAGCACTCACCCGCTGCCGTCCATGGGCTCAGGCCACTGAGCAGGGGTCCCCAGTTCCTCCTCCTCTTTCTCCTCCTCTGGCCTGGCTCCCAGCAGAGGCTGAGCCTCTGCCGACGCACCCTCAGTTCCCTCCCGGGCCCTGGACCCTCGGCCCAATTGCTCCTCCAGGCGGCCTGCGCGACCTGCCCCAGAGCAGCAAGGGTCAGTGCGCGCCAGGCTGACGGCCGGAACCCCCCCTCAACCACCTCTACCTCAATAGAAGTCAGAACCCGCCCCTTACTGAAAGGCAACAGCCCCTTTCAGGGTCCTAAGGTCTGAAATGGGAGTGTCCACCCTCAAACCCATGGCACTCAGGGGTTCGGCTAGGCCACACACCAATGGAGATCTCGAAGCTGATGGGCTGGGAGGCCACGGCAGGGTCGATCATGGTGGCCTCGAAGAGCACACCGAAAAGCAGGAAATCTTCACAGGGCGCCAGGACGTTCTGCGGGAGGCCGTCAGGCTGGAGTCAGCGCCCACCCTCCCAGGGAGCAGACTGGACTATGCTTGGCCGCAATGCCCACAGAAAGAAGTGTGACCAAGGCTTGGAAGTCACTGCAGGTATCCTACTCCCTCTCTGTCCTCGCCGACCCAGCATTGGCCTTGGGTATGCGTCCTCTTTCCCCCAACATGTGCGCATATAACCAGAGCCCATGTGGGCACACACCTCACTCTTCGCCCAGGCACCCAGATTGAGACCCCAGTCGTGATGTTTAACGCCTGAGAGTGGATTCCACCTTCCAAAGCTGAGGTGATCCCGCCCCCTTTGCTACCCCCCAGCCCCCACCTCTGGCAGCGGCAGTAGCTCCTCCACCTCCACCTCCATGGCACTGGGAATCTCAGGCACCTCGGCACCGGGGCTGGCGTCCACGTGCTGCGGAACCCCCTTTGGGGTCTGATCCCGCCTGGCTTTCTTTTTCTTCTTTCGGGTGAGCCGGGACAACCTGGACCCCTGCTGGGCCTGGGGAGGCTCAGGTTCAGCTCTCCCTTCCAACACCTGCATGGACACAGCCAGCAGAAGGCGGCCGCGGAACCAAATGCCTTGGCCAACGCCTTCGTTGAGACCTTGAAGACCATCCCGGAGCCCCGCGCCGGGGGGCGAGCCATAGAGGGGCACCCAGGCCGGGCCGAAAGTAGGGTTAAACCCCGCTGTGGGGAACAAGAGCAGCGTGTTGGAGGGGAGTGCGGGGAGGGCGAGTGCTGGTAAGTCTGTGCACCTCACCCTGATCTCCTCCAAATATTAGGGGGTGAAGGCAGGGAAGGGGGGCTAAGCCGCTCTGAAAGGGAAGAAGTTGGCCAGCAGCTGCGGATGCGCCGCTGTGGAACACGACCTGGGGCGCCTCCAAACCAGCTCAGCGCCCCAAGGAGCTGGAAACCGCAGGAGCCGGGGCTCGGGGGACGCAGCCTGAACCCTGGGGGCGGGGGCGGGATTGGGGCGGAGCTACGGGTGATCCGCCAGGCCTGGGAGTCGGGGAAAGGAGTGGACCAGCAGTGTCAGTGCGTGCACAGCTGTAGAAGAGTGGGACTGGGCTGGCTAGTTACTGGACAGGCGGCTGTGGTCAGAATTTTGCCAACAGAGCCAAACCTACGGTGGGGTTCACAGTCTGGGGGCGGCTTGAAGCCGTTTGTTTTGCGGGCGGACCAGCCTTCCTAGGCGCAGCGGGGTCGCGAGGATTGGGCTTTCTGTTGGGAATGGGCCCTACAGCGCGATGGGACCGAGGCGAGTGAGGCCGGGTTTGCGGCGGCCAGAAGCACTCACCTGCACGGCCCGGATGGGAGATCCGCCTCAGGTCCAGCACGTGCGTAGCGAGGGCCGCGTCGACCAGGGGCGCGTCGTCCCGCAGCTGCAGGCGGAGGCTGCGCGTCAGCGGCGGGAAGAGCTCCACGAAGCTCAGCTGCTCGTTCCACTCAGGCGCCGCCGCCTGGGCGCGCACCGACGTCTCGCCCTGAAGGTGGCGTTAAAGACCGGCGGAGGGAGGTCAGCGCGCAGTCGGGGCGGGAGCCGCGGCGCTGTGGGCCCCGGAGGGACTTACCTCCTGCCCCAGGAAAGACACCCGCACATAGGGCTCCACCAGGACGCGCTGGTCGTGCAGGGCGCGGGCCAGGCTGCCCAGCAGCCCCTGGCGCAGCGCGGAAAGCCCCTCGGCGCGGTACAGGCGCACGCGGAGCCGCGCCCACGGCCTCTCGGCTGGCACTCCGCGCGGCAGGAGCAGGTTCCTGGGGGAGGGGGCACCGAGCGGTGGGGAGAAACTGGGATCTCGGCCTCTCCCCTTATCCGCGCCCCACGGCCACCCCCGAATCCATGTCCTCCTCCCCACCTCACCCCGGCTCACTTCTCAATGTCCGAACAGTGCTCTGGGGCCGGGGGTAGCATTGGAGGGGGCAGGTCCCCGCGCGCCCTCACGGACAAGGTGACCTTAACGAAGCCCTTGGTCCCGGCGCGGGTGTCCCGGGGATCATGCAACGGAGCCCATCTTTGGTAGTATTGGCCATCTAAGGGAGAAGGGGCGAGCCAGGGGTAAGGGGCGACCGGCGGGACGCACAGGGTGGCCGTGAGGCTGTTATCGGAGTGACGGACAATGGCTGGAGCTCCTCTGGCTCAGCAGGGAGGAGCGGAAGTGCCTAGAGTTCATCCTCCGCCAGAGATGGCCCTCTCCGAAGTGAGTGTATAGGGGTCCATGCGGAGCCACCACGGGGTCAATCTCTGGGGTCCTTGTCCATGCAGAGTCTCAATAAGGGGACGATTCCATACCTGGCTGGTCCAAGACGATGCCCAGGTCCATCCTGAAGGTCCCTATCCGGGTGGCCATAAACGGGAGGGTCTGCGAATGGAAAGCCTGGGGGGAAGGTGGGGTTAGTCCTGAGCTTTCCCATCCCCCTTCTCTGAAGGACACTGGTCACCCCTACCGCGCTCACCGTGATCTCCAGCAGCAAGTCTTGGAGGCGAAGCCGTGTGTCATGAAATTCGAACAAGAAGTACTGAATTGAAGTGGGGATGAGAGGTTAAATGTGAAGGTTAGATGTGAGGTTAGATGTGAACCGGCAGCTTACCCAGGTCTCTTGCTCAGAAGACCCTCCTTCCCCCACCCCCAACCCTTTCACTGCAACCTTTTCCTAGATCGGCACCCCTCTAACGCCCACCCATAGGCCGAGCATCTGGCCCCATTTCCAACTAGGCCGCGCCCTCTCCGGGAATAGTTCTCACATGGACCCCTCCCATTCTCTCAGGCTCGCCCTCTTCTGTGGTGGCGCCCACCTCATTGTAGAAGGGGCAATTGGTCCCACGCTGTGTGGCGGTAACGCGGCGCTGCCCCCCCACTTGCACGGCCACATAGGGGTTAATGTTGACTCCGAACAGTTTCTGGGCCTCTAGCACGGTGACTCCCACCTGAGAGGTACAGAAGGATGAGGAAAGGAAGCCAGACCTGCCTGGGTGGAGGGAAAGAACGTGTGTCCCAGAAGAGGTAGTATTCCCAAGGATTAGACCCTGGAAAAAGAGCAGTACCTGGAAGTCTTGAGCTCTGGACACCTGGAAGGGATCCCCATGGGCCAGGGCCCTGGCGCGGCTGGGGAGAAGCTTAAGGTTAGCTCTCACTTGGTCCCTCCCCTGTGTGCCCACGCACACACTTGCTTGGTGCTGGGAATGATGTTTTCTCTCCCTCTGAAGTTTTGGATTCCAAGTCCTTCAGGTCATGTCTTGCTGCCTCCATCTCAACCCTACACCCAGAATTTGACTCATTCCTGGAGCCCTGAAACCATTCATTTGTGCAGCAGAGGTTTATTGAGTACCTACTATGTGCTAACACTGTCCCAAGCACTGGGACGCTGTAGTGAAGAGACAAACCTTGCCCTCATCAAGCTTTCATCCCCTGCATGTATGTGAGCCACTGTAACTGTGTGTATGAACATGGCAGTGTCTGTCTATAAGCAAGTGACCAGAGAATCCACCCTTCCCACACACCCTGGGACTGTGTGTTTGTGAGGGCGGATGGGTGTGGGAGCAGGTGTGCCATGGGTACAAGTTACCTCTTGAGGGGGCTGAACACAACACCAGAAAGTTCGACGTCAGGCTCATCATCCAGGTCCTGCTCCAGCTCAAGCTCCAGCTCATTCTCCTCATCGTTCTGCTGGCCTAGGCTTCGAGCTAGCCTGCGGCCTAGAGCCACTGCCCGCCGCTCCAGCTGGGCCTCCCCAGGCCTGATAGGAAAGGCCCTCAAGGGATATGCCTGGAACCCATCACCCATCTCCGAGCAATCCCTTGACTTCCGGAGCTTTGGACCGACCCCTGACCCTTGAACTGATCCCACTGATCCTAGGACCAGTTCTTGACCTTGTGGCTGACTTCACTGATCCCAGGACAGACTCTTAACCCTGGGGACCTTTCTAATTCCAGAACTGACCTCTGATTATAGGACTGACCTCTGACCCTGAAACTGATTCAGTTCTGACCCAAGACCCTGGGGCTGCCTCCATATCACTGGCTCCTAACTCCAAGACTGACCTCGGTGACTCCAGGTCATCCCCACATACTTACTCCAGTTCCTGGAAGTCCACATTGGGGATAATTAACTCCAAGCTGGGGAAAGAGAAATGAAAGGACTAAGAGGAACATGCCTGACTACAGAGCAACACCTGGTCAGCACACGTCCAAGGGCTACTGAATTGGTAGATCCAGAGTGGAACAAGGCACTACTTCTCCCTTTCCAGGGTCTGCCTGGGCTGAGACCACCAGGTCTTGCTTCAGTTGCTGGGGGGGATTACCTGTCTTGGATGGGTGACCCAAAGTCCTCTTCTGACCAGGCTCCAGTAGCACCCTCTGGGGGCTGGTACTTCAGGTCAAGCTCCACCTGGATCTAAAACCAGATACAGTATCCCCTAGGGCCCCCCTCCAACTGCCCTGGGTCTAAGAGAGGCCCAAGGACAATGCCAATGCCTTTTACTCCAGGTGGCAGAGATCCTTCTGACCAGCATCCGTGGTGCCTTGTGGTTCCTCTCTGATCATTAATAATGTAGACTACTCATAACCTACTAAGAACTAAGTAGGCAAGTTTCCTCTTTATTTTTTAATTTTCTTTCTTCTGTTTTTTTGCTTGTTTGTTTGTTTGTTTGTTTCATTTTTAGTATTGATGAGGTCTTATTATGTTGCCCAGGTTGGTCTTGAGCTCCTGAGCTCAAATGATCCTTCTGCTTTAGCTTCCCAAAGTGCTGGGATTACAGGCATGAGCCACTGTGCCCAGCTGCAAGTTACCTCTTGAGGCCCAACAGGATTCCAAAATTCTCTCATTTTTGTTGGAAATCCCTTATGGTGACCTTCACTACTCTGCCTGGTCTGGCCCCACCATCCTTTCCAGGTCCTTCTCACTCCAGTCACCCCAGCTGTGCTCCTTCAAGGCGCTGGGCTTTCGCATATGCCTTTTCCTCTGCCTGGGACATTCTGTCCTCCCAGTTAACATCTATTATCCTTCAAGTCTAAGTTCAGGTACTGTTTCCTCAGGGAACCTTCTCTGGCCCCCAAGTAGATCATACTCCCCTGTTGTACCCTCTCCCAGCCCCTACCAGCTTGCTTCTAACACCTGCTAGTTCCAGTTTCACATTTACTTGTGTGAATATTTGTTTAATGTTTGCCTCCCTTCCAAGGGTGTGAATCTTTATCTGGTTTTGCTCACCACGGAATCCTCATTGCTCAGCTCAGCATTTGGCTTATCATAAGAGCCCAACAAATGATGACGGACTAAACAAAACACTCAACATTATATAAATGAGAAACAGCTTCCAGGCCAGGCGCGGTGGCTCATGCCTGTAATCCCAGCACTTTGGGAGGCCGAGGAGGGTGGATCACAAGGTCAGGAGTTCGAGACCAACCTGGTCAAGATGGTGAAACCCATTCTCTACTAAAAATAAAAAAATTAGCTGGGCATGGTGGTGGGCGCCTGTAGTCCCAGCCACTTTGGAGGCTGAGGCAGGAGAATCGCTTAAACGTGGGAGGTGGAGGTTGCAGTGAGCCGAGATTGCGCCGCTGCATTCCAGTCTGGGTGACAGAGTGAGATTCCGTCTCAAAACAAAAAAAAAAGAAAACAGTTTCCAAATGCTAAAGAACTTGTTCAAGTTCCCAGACAGGAAATGGCAGATCTGAGATTGGAAGCTAAGTCCATGTCTACTAGGCTATGAGCCCCTCCATGAAACACCAGGAAAATCCAGCCAGGTTCATCTTTGTCTCCCACAAGAATTGATTGCCGAAAGGAATCCTGGCTGGAGGCCTTGTTACCACTTCTCTCTGGGTCTTAGGTTTTCCCCTATGAGAAATGGAACCCTTTATCTAGAGGTACTTGAGGGTGGCAGCCTGGGGGCTGGAGGGGCTCACCGGGGACACTCGAAGATTCTCATCCACTAGGGCTTCCTGTAGCACCAAATGCCCAGTATTCTGTAGCTGCTGCAGGGAGATCACCAGGGTCCCTAGAGGCCTAGGGGAGTGGCATAGAGCAGAAGAGTGACCCAAGGGAATGGCTCTAAGTCACCCCCAGCCCAACCTGCATCCCTGTCTCCCCAGGCCGACTCACCTAGGGCTGAATACACGGCTGCAGTTGACCACCTGCACAGACAGACACTCCCCAGCCAGTGGAGCCCCATAGTGGGGCCATCGGAACAGCTGGGGACAGGAGGAAGCTTGTGACACCCATGCTGTGCTGACCCCAAACTCCAATCCAAAGCCTATTCTTGGCTGAGTGTGGTGGCTCACGCCTGTAATCCCAGCACCTTGGGAGGCCAAGACAGGCAGATCACTTGAGATCAGGAGTTCAAGACCAGCCTGGCCAACATGGTGAAACCCCGTCTCTACTAAAAATACAAAAATTAGCCAGGCGTGGTGGTACATGTCTGTAATCCCAGCTACTCAGGAGGCTGAGGCAGGAGACTCGCTTCAACTTGGGAGATGAAGGTTCCAGTGCTCTGAGATTGTGCCATTGCACGACAGAGTGAGGCCCTGTCTCAACAAAAACAAACCTATTCCTAACCCTCAGACAGGAGCCAATCCTCCAGACTTACAGCTAACTTTAGGACTAATATCCCCAAACCTGGAAGGGATTCCTGCACATGGGTTTGAATCGGAGTGAGGGCTGATCTGGGGCTAACTAGTGAAAAAGAATGAATTCCCTCAGTCTTGCAACTAATTTCTTCCAATCTGGGTCTGACCTCTCAGGCCTCAGACTGACCCCACCTCCCAAGACTATACTTCCCCAAACCCAGGAATGAGCCCCTGAACCCCAGGTTGGACTTGGATGGGAGACAGATCAGGAACCAACTGTACTGACCTCACCAATATCTGCTTCTTGACCACAGCGAATTTTTCTTGTTTTCTGGGTAAAACCTGCTCAGAACTGAAACTAGTCATTTATCAGTCCCTCCCCTGACACACACAAAAATAATTTGTATTCCCCACCCTTGGCCCAGTGTCAAGTCCCTCCCGGATTCACCCTTAAAGAAAGGTAGACAATAGGAAGGAAAGAGGCAGCAGGTTGGAGATACCAGGGTGGGTGGAGAAAAGATACGGACTGTAGAGATGGGATGGCATTTGGTCAAGGGCCCAGGGAATGGAGGATCCATAGCCCCCGGTTTCAAATATCCTTAGAGTACCCCTGCAAGCCTCACCTCGAAAGGTGAGCTTCACTTGTCGGTCGTGGGTGCCGGACAGCCCTGTTAGTCGTTGCACGCATACCGTCAGAGCCATGGTCCCAGTGGCACTGGCACTTCCACTGCCCGTCTGCCCTTCTGCCCACCAGTCCGCCCACCTGAATCACCTCTGACTCACTGGACTCACCCAGCAGGTTTAGCAATCCCTGCCCTTTAGTCAAACACACAGGGAGCAGGCCTGGGGGTCATGGGTGGAGAGGGAGGAGAGGAGCGAGAGATAGGGGTAAGGTCCTGGAGGTCAGTTCAGCCCTTCCTGCCTCCACCAGCTGCAAGCTGGCAGGACTGCCTCAGCCTCCATCCTGCATCCTCGGGGAGTGAGAGCTGTGATAGGGTGGGAGGGAGGCAAGGGGAGTGAACAGGACCCTAGTCTGTTCCCTGCCAGCCAATGAGGCCTCAATTTTTTGTTTTGTTTTGTTTTGTTTGTTTGTTTGTTTGCTTTGAGATGGGGTCTTGCTCTAGCATCCAGGCTGGAGTGCAATGGCGCCATCTCAGCTTACTGCGACCTCTGACTCCTGGGTTCAAGCAATTCTACTGTCTCAGACTCCGGGGTAGCTGGAATTACAGGTGTCCACCACCACAGCTGGCTAATTTTTTGTATTTTTAGTACAGACGGGGTTTTACCATGTTGGCCAGGCTGGTCTTGAACTCCTGACCTCAGGTGATCTGCCCATCTCAGCCCCTCAAAGTGCTGGGATTACGGGCATGAGCCACCATGCCCGGCCTCTCCTCTTTTCTTTCTCTCTCTCTCTCTCTTTTTTACTTTCTTCTTCCTTTTTTCTTTCTTTTCTTTTTTTTTTTTTTTTTTTTAATCCTGAGATGAAGTCTCTCTCTGTCGCCCAGGCTGGAGTGCAGTGACATGATCTTGGTTCACTGCAACCTCTGCCTCCCAGATTCAAGCAATAGTCCTGCCTCAGCCTCCCACGTAGCTGAGATTACAGGTGTCCGCTACCATGCCGAGCTAATTTTTTTTCAGACGGAGCCTCACTCTGTTGCCTAGACTAGAGTGCAGTGGTGTGATCTCGGCTCACTGCCACCTCTGCATCCCGGGTTCAAGCGATTCTCCTGCCTCAGCCTCCCAAGTAGGTGGGACTACAGGTGCATGCCACCACACCTGGCTAATTTTTTTATTTTTTCAGTAGAGACGGGGTTCACCATATTGGCCAGACTGGTCTCAAACTCCTGACTTTGTGATCCGCCTGCCTCGGCCTCCCAAAGTACTGGGATTACAGGCATGAGTCACTGCACCCGGGCTAATTTTTGTATTTTTAAGTAGAGACGGGGTGTCACCATGTTGGCCTGGCTGTTCTCGAATTCCTGACCTTTAGTCATCTGCCCGTCTCAGCCTCCCAAAGTGCTGGGATTATAGGAGTGAGCCACCACGCCCAGCCCCTTCCTTTCTTTCTTTTTCCTTTTTTTTTTTTTTTTTTTTTTTTTTTTTTTTTTTTGAGACGGAGTCTTGCTCTGTCACCCGGGCTGGAGTGCAGTGGCCGGATCTCAGCTCACTGCAAGCTCCGCCTCCCGGGTTTACGCCATTCTCCTGCCTCAGCCTCCCGAGTAGCGGGGACTACAGGCGCCCGCCACCTCGCCCGGCTAGTTTTTTGTGTTTTTAGTAGAGACGGGGTTTCACTGTGTTAGCCAGGATGGTCTCGATCTCCTGACCTCGTGATCCGCCCGTCTCGGCCTCCCAAAGTGCTGGGATTACAGGCTTGAGCCACCGCGCCCGGCCTCTTTTTCCTTTTTTAAGGCAGGGTCTCACTCAGTTACCCAGACTGAAGTGCAGTGGTGCAATCAAGGCTCACTGCAGCCTCAATCTCCCAGGCTCAGCCTCCCAAGTAGCTGGAACTACAGGCATGTGCCACCATGCTTGGCTAATTTTTGTATTTTTTGTAGTGATGGGGTTTTGCCATGTTGCTCAAGCTGGTCTCAAATTCCTGGCCTCAAGTGATCCTCCCATCTCGGACTCCCAAAATGCTGGGATTACAGACGTGAGCCACCACACCTGGCCTCATGTTGTTTCTTGTTCATCTTCCTGTTCTCAGTGCCCAGATCAGGGTTTGGCACATGGTAGGCCCTTAAAACACTGAACAAATGGATGAATTAATAAATTAATCCCTTAGCCCTCAGAAGTAGTGCTGTAGGCATTCAACACATTTATTGAATTAAAAAGTGATTAAATGTGTGTTCCTAGCTTGCAACAAAATAGTCATTCAGCTGGAAGCCAGGTGTCCTTAACTTGGGGTCCTAGGATCCTAGTGGGACCATAGAATGGCTCCACGGAGGCTGCAAATCTTTGAAATTTTCTGGAAAATATTGGGCATGTGTACACTTTTGTGGACAAAGAGCTCATCACTTAGGTTAATAACCCTAAAACAGATATACAATACTTTTGCTGAGTGAAGTCATGAATGTATCTTGAAATCTGAACCCATAATATATGAAAGTATGTATTCATGGGAGTTCACAGTCAGGCCTTTTAATTCTATATATATATATATATATATTTTTTTTTTTTTTTTTCAGACAGGGTCTTGCTCTGTCACCCAGGCTGGAGTACAGTGGCACAATTACAGCTCACTACAGCCTCAACTTCCCAGGCTTAAGTGATATTCCTGACTCAGCCTCCCTAGTAGCTGGGTCTACAGGCTCATGCAATCACACCACCTGGTTTTTTTAAGAGATGGGGTCTCACTGTGTTGCCCAGGCTGGTCTCCTGGGCTCTAGCAATCCTCCTTCCTTGGCCTCCCCAAGTGCTGGGATTACAGACATGATCTACCATGTCCTGCACCTTCTATTTGCAGGACTTGTGCTATGGCACCCTGCAGTGTGTGCAGCCAGAGAGAGGAGAATCACATGTGTCTGTCTTCCAGTAACTTCATGACTCCAATAGCTAACACAGCCTAGAAAGACTGGAATTACCCGCAAAGCGGAAAAGGGTCAGGGCCCAGGAACTCAGAGGAGGGAGACCAGAGGCGCTTCCCCAAAAAAGGAATATTTAAAATGGGTTTAGGCTCCTGGAAAGCGGAGCTTGCAGTGAGCCAAGATCGCGCCACTGCACTCCAACCTGGGCGACAGAGTGAGACACTGTCTCAAAAAAAAAAAATTGGTTTAGGCTCAGCACGGTGGCTCGTGCCTGTTGGGAGCTCAAGACAGGAGGATTTCTTGAGCCCAGGAGGTCAAGGCTGCAGTAAACTGTAATCATGCCACTCCACTCCAGCCTAGGCTATTAACAGAGCAAAACACTGTCTCAATTAAAAAAAAAAAAAATTAAAAGGAAAGAAAGTGGCCGGGCGTGGTGGCTCACTGCTGTAATCCCTGCACTTTGGGAGGCCAAGGCAGGTGGATCACGAGGCCAAGAGTTTAAGACATCCTGGCCAACATGGTGAAACCCCATCTGTGCTAAAAATACAAAAATTAGCCAGGTATGGTGGCGTGCACTTGTAATCTCAACTACTCAGGAGGCTGAGGCAGGAGAATCACTTGAACCCGGGAGGCGGAGGTTGCAGTGAGCCAAGATTGGGCCATTGTACTCCAGCCTGGGCCAACAGAGTGAGACTCCACCCCAAAAGAAAAGAAAATTGGCTTAGAGCAGTAGTCCCCAATCTTTTTTGGCACCAGTGACCACGGACCTGTTTCATGGAAGGCAATTTTTCCATGGACAGAGTCGGGGGTAGGGGCAGGGGGCGGAAAGGATGGTTTGGAGATGAAACTGTTCCACCTCAGATCATTAGGTGTTAGATTCTCATAAGGAGCACACAACCTAAATCTCTCACATGCACAGTTACCAATAGGGCTCGCGCTCCTATGAGAATCTAATGCTGCTGCTGATCTGACAGGAGGCGGAGCTCAGGTGGTGATGCTCCCTTACCCACCACTCACCTCCTGCTGTGCATCCTGGTTCTTAACAGGTCACGGACTGGTACCAGTCCATGGCCTGGGGGTTGGGGACCCATGGCTCAAAGGACAGGAGCTGGGAGCAAAGACAGAAACCTAGGCAGTGGGAAGAAATGCTGCATGTTTTCTGGGCCCATGTAATGTGTTCAGTTTGGCCTGAATACAAGGAATGTATTGGGCGGCGGCAGAGGCAGCAGATAAGATTAGACAGTCAGAGAAGCTGGTTCTCACCGTGTGAGCTTGAGCCAGTCATGGTCTCTTCTTGTGCTTCAGCTTTTCCATCTCAGTACTGGGCTGGAAAGCCCTGTTCTGACTATTTCTCCACTGTTGTTGTTTTGAGACAGAGTCTCATTCTGTCACCCAGGGGTTGAGTGATGGGGTTTCACCCAGAGAGGGGGTTTCACCATGTTGGCCAGGCTGATCTTGAACTTCTGACCTCAGTTGATCAGCCCTTCTAGGCCTCCAAAGTGCTGGGATTACAGAAGTGAGTCACTGTACCTGGCCAATTGTTATGTATTCAAATGAGTTTGAGGGTCTAAAACATATCAGAAGAGGGACAGGCTGTTCTGTTTTTAAGAAAGGCCCAGATTAGACCTGAACCCTCAGATGCTGGGAGAAGGCTTCACCTCCCCCCAATCTTTTTTGTGTTTGTTTCTTGGTTTTGTTTTTTAAGACAGTGTCGGCCAGGCACAGTGGCTCACGCCTGTAATCCCAACACTTTGGGAGGCTGAGAAAGGCAGATCAAGAGGTCAGGGGATCTGGTCTCGATGGTGAAATCCCTTCTCTACTAAAAATACAAAAAATTAGCTGGGTGTGGTGGCGGCCGCCTGTGCTCCCAGCTACTCAGGAGGCTGAGGCAGGAGAATGGCGTGAACCTAGGAGATGGAGCTTGCAGTGAGCCGACATCGTGCCACTGCACTCCAGCCTGGGTGATGGAGCAAGGCTCCGTCTCAAAAAAAAAAAAAAAAAAAAAGACAGTGTCTTATTCTGTTGCCCAGGCTGGAGTATAGTGGTGCGATCTCAGCTCACTGCAACATCCACTTCCTGGGTTCAACTAATTCCCTAACTCACCTTCCCCAGTAGCTGGGATTACAGGCGAGCGCCACCACGCCTGGCTAATTTTTGTATTTTTAGTAGAGAGACGGGGTTTCACCATGTTAGCCAGGCTGGTCTTGAACTCCTGACCTTGTGAGACCACCTCAGCCTCCCAAAGTGCTGGGATTACAGGTATGAGCCACTGTGCCCAGCTTACCTCCCCCTTTTAACAGATAGTGACGCTGGGACCCAAAGGAGTTAACAGACAGAAAACATGGCAGAGGGAGAGATGGGGTGGTATGAACCAGAATTTGTAGTTTGCAGTGCCTTCGCCTTCCTCTCCCTTCTTCCATGTGGGTTCTGTGGCACTTAATGAAGCAAGGTATTGATGTCTTCCCTCTGGAACCTGGCATGGGCATCTCTCCTCTGGGCTGGAACATAGCTTAACAGATTATCCCTGTGCCTCAACCCCTCAAAAACTGCCACTTCCAGTTTCACTGCCACATATTCTTGTTTTGTTTTGAGACGAAGTCTGGCTCTGTCACCCAGGCTGGAGTGCAGTGGTGCGATGCCAGCTCACAGTGACCTCTGCCTTCTGGATTCAAGCAATTCTTCTGCCTCAGCCTCCCAAGTAGCTGGACACCACCATGCCCAGCTAATTTTTGTATTTTTAGTAGACACGGGGTTTCACCATATTGGCCAGGCTGATCTCGAACTCTTGACCTCAAGTGATCCACTGCCTGGGTCTCACAAAGTGCTGGGAGTACAGGCCTGAGCCATAGCCATCACGCCCAGCCCCAGTTCCTAACATTCTAAGGAAGGTATGAGATGGCAGTAAGAGGACTGCACTGGAGGGCAGGATTTGCTAATGTGATGCGGTGTGTTATTCTCCTACCTGGACCTGTTTACCTAGCTGTGCAACTTGTGCACGATGCACTGCATTGTGTTTCAAAATGCATTGTGTTTTTTTTTCTTTTTTTCCTTTTTTTTTTTTTTTTGGTCTCACTCGCTGGCCCAGGCTGGAGTGCAGTGGCGCGGTCTCGGCTCACTGCAACCTCTGCCTTCTGGGATCAAGCGATTCTCCCGCCTCAGCCTCCCAAGTAGCTGGGACTACAGGCACAGGCCACCACAGGTGTCCACTACCACAGCCGGCTAATTTTTTGTATTTTTAGTAGAGATGGGGTTTCACCATGTTGGCCAGGTTGGTCTCAAACTCCTCACATCAGGTGATTCGCCCACCTCAACCTCTCAAAGTGCTGGGATTACAGGCGTGAGCCACCAAGCCTGGCCCCAAAATGTGGTCTTTAGGATCACAAATGTGGTTGTTAAAAATGCACACTCTGGCAAGGCACATTGGCTCGTATCTGTAATCCCAGCACTTTGGGAGGCCGAGGTGGGCGGATCACCTGAGGTCAGGAGTTCGAGACCACCCTAACCAACATAGTGCAACCCCATGTCTACTAAAAATACCAAAAAAAAAAAAAAAAAAGCCAGGCGTGGTGGCACATGACTGTAATCCCAACTATTTGGGAGGCTAAGGCAGGAGAATTGCTTGAACCCAGGAGGCAGAGCTTGCAGTGAGCTGAGGTCGTACCATTGTACTCCAACCTGGCCACAGAGCAAGACTCTGTCTAAAAAATAAACAAAAACAAAACAAAAAAGCATTCCTGGGTTAACTCAGGAATTCTGCAGTATCTGCAGTAGAATCACAAGGTTTGCCTGGGAAGCTGAATTTCTATAAGCTGCGCTGATATTCTGTTACATAGCAAGAGTTTGGGGACCTCTAGTCTTCTGGCTGTGACCATCTGATTCCTCATTCTTTACTCCATGGCTCAGGTGTGCAGCCTGAGCGTGGGTATGATGATTGGTGGGTGCTGAATTCTCAACCCACAGACCCCTGGGAAATATGGGTCTGGGGGAGGGACCCACAGATCCTGAATAAGCTCTCTGACCTGATGTCTAGGATGAGAGGAGGGGGCTGATGGGCTTGCAGAGCAAAGGGGACTAAGTATTTAGAAGTGCCCTAAGTGATGCCCTGCTCCTTCTTAACATTCATTATTTGTGAATATTTGAGCACCTACTACATGCTAGGCTTATCTAGGTGTTGGAGATACAGTAGTGAATGAAAATCTGTGCCCGTGTTAAGTTTATGTTCTAGTGGACATGGTAGGCAATAAGGACATAAATAAATGGGCCAGGCAAGGTGGCTCACATCTATAATCCCAGCACTTTGGGAGGCAGAAGTGAGTGGATCACTTGAGCTCAGGAGTTAAAGGCCAGCCTAGGCAACATAGTGAGACCCCGTCTCTACAAAAAATACAAAAATTAGCTGGGTGTGGTGGCAGGCACCTTCCCAGCTACTCAGGAGGATTGCTTGAGCCCGGGAGATGGAGGTTGCAGTGAGCTGAGATCCTGCCACCGCACTCCAGCCTGGGCAACAGAGTGAGACCTCATCTCAAAAAAGAAAGATAGAAATGAAATATATAGCATATTAGTGATACGTGCTGAGGGGAAAAACAAAACAGAGATGGGGGATAGAAACTGTTATTCGTTAAGTGCAATTTTAGATGGGGTTTTCTAAGAAGTGCTGTGACATCATCGCTTGCTTTAAAAGCGGCCAGGCGCGGTGGCTGACTCCTGTAATCCCAGCACTTTGGGAGCCCCAAAGTGATCAGGCAGGCAGATCACCTGAGGTCAGGAGTTCGAGACCAGCCTGGCCAACATGGTAAAACGCTGTCTCTACAAAAATACAAAAATTAGCTGGGCATGATGGTGGGTGTCTGTAATCCCAGCTACTCAGGAGGCTGAGGCAGGAGAATCGCTTGAACCTGTGAGGCGGAGGTTGCACTGAGATGAGACTGCACTACTGCACTCCAGCCTGGGTGACAGACCAGGACTCTGTCTCAAAAAATAAAATAAAATAAAAAATAAGCCTGGGCGCGGTGGCTCACGCCTGTAATCCCAGGAGCCGAGAGGGGCGAGGCGGGCGGATCACCTGAGATCGGGAGTTCAAGACCAGCTTGACTAACATGGAGAAACCCCGTTTCTACTAAAAATACAAAATTAGCCAGGAGTGGTGGTGAATGCCTGTAATCCAAGCTACTCAGGAGGCTGAGGCAGGAGAATCGCTTGAACCCGGGAGGCGGAGGTTGCAGTGGACCAAGATCGTGCCATTGCACTCCAGCCTGGGCAACAGAGTGAGACTCCATCTCAAAAAAAAAAAAAGAAAAGAGGAAGGAAGGAAGGAAAGAAAGAAAGAGTGAGACTCCATCTCAAAAAAAAAAAAAAAAAAAAAAAGAAAAGAAAAGAAAGAAAGGAAAGAAAGAAAGAAAGAGAGAAAGAAACTGTTATACACTGAGTGCCATTTTAGATGGGGTTTTCTGGGAAGTGCTGTGACATCATTACTTTAAAAGAGGCCGGGCGCGGTGGCTGACGCCTGTACTCCCAGCGCTTTGGGAGGCCGAGGCAAGAGGATCGCTTGAGCTTGGGAGTTCGAAGTTACAATGAGCTATATCAAGCCACTGCACTCCAGCCTGGGCAATGAGAAAGACCCTGTCTCTTAACAACAACAACAAAGTCAGAAGGAGAGGCTGCCATGGCTACGGCTCCCGGTGAGGCCAGCTCCGTGACGCGCCGCCAGGGCGGCCCGCGGAAACCGAGGCTCCTCTGTGACGTCAGCAGCCGGCCGGGACACAGCGGAAGGGCAGGTGCGGCCGCGGGGCCTGCCGACTTCACGCAGGGTCCGTGTGGTCCCCGCGGCGCGCAGCGGCTGAAGGAGGTCCCAGGGCCTTGGCGACCGCGGCGGCGGCTTTAGCGTCCGTGACTGGGCAGCAGGGGGTCAGGATGCGGCGAAGCTCCCGCCCGGGCTCGGCCTCGTCCTCGCGCAAGCACACGCCCAACTTTTTCAGCGAGAACAGCTCAGTGAGCATCACCTCGGAGGACAGCAACGGGCTCCGGTCAGCGGGGCCGGGGCCTGGGGACCCCGAGGGCAGAGGAGCCCGGGGCCCGAGCTGTGGTGAGCCCGCCTTGAGCGCGGGAGTGCCCAGAGGAACCACATGGGCAGGAAGCTCTCGGCAGAAGCCGGCGCCTCGGAGCCACAACTGGCAGACAGCCTGTGGCGCGGCAACCGTGAGGGGCGGGGCCTCGGGTGCGGGCGGGGTCGACCCCGGGTGAGCCGATGGAGGGGGCGGGGCCTAAAGGGTGGTGCCGGGCGGGAACGGGACTAAGATGATATCTGGGCACCTCCTACAAGGTGGGTTCTGTAGGGTAAAGGGGAGGTGCTAAATGAGATCCCTTAAGGGGCGGAGCCTCGGTGTCCTCAATGGTTATTGGAAGAGGCGGGTAAAATCTTGTGTTTGGGCGCCACTGAGAAGATGCGGCCTCAGTGTTAGAGTGAGTGGCTCCCAGGACAATCGGGCTCCACCAAGACCTAAGGCTGGGGACGGGTCATCCTTTTGGGGGTGGGACCAACTCCGTTTTTTTTTTGAAACGGAGTTTCCCTCTTGTTGCCCAGGCTGGAGTGCAACGGCACATCTCAGCTCACCGCAACCTCCGCCTCCCGGGTTCAAACGATTCTCCCGCCTCAGCCTCCCGAATAGCTGGGATTACAGGCATGCGCCACCACGCCCGGCTAATTTTTGTGTTTTTAGTAAAGACGGTATTTCTCCGTGTTAGTCAGGCTAGCCTCGAACTCCCGACCTCAGGTGATCCGCCCGCCTCGGCCTCCCAAAGCGCTGGGATTACAGGCGTGAGCCACCGCGCGCGGCCAGGAGACCAACTCTTTTTTTTTTTTTTTTTTTTTTGAGATGGAGTCTTGCTCTGTCTCCCAGGCTGGAGTGCAGTGGCGTGATCTCTGCTCACTGCAAGCTCCGCCTCCCGGGTTCACGCCATTCTGCCTCAGCCTTCCGAGTAGCTGGGACTGCAGGCGCCCGCCACCACGCCCGGCTAATTTTTTCGTATTTTTAGCAGAGACGGGGTTTCACCGTGTTAGCCAGGATGGTCTCGATCTCCTGACCTCGTGATCTGCCCGCCTCGGCCTCCCAAAGTGCTGGGATTACAGGCGTGAGCCACCGCGCCCCGCCCAGGAGACCAAGTCTTGACGGAGCCTCCCTGAGGGGCGGGGCGGGAGCCGGGATAGGGCTGCCGTGGGACCAAAGCCTTTGAGAGGCTTCTCAGCTTTCTGGCTTCTGGACTCAGCAATTTGCGGCCGGGTCTCGAGGGGAAAATAGGTCTGTGGTGCGCAAGGCCCCAATGGAGCCCTTGGTTTCCCGCAGAACCCACTGGGTCTCCAGCAGTCTCTGAGGAGCCGCTCGACCTTCTGCCGACCCTGGATCTGAGGCAGGAGATGCCTCCCTCGCGGGTGTTCAAGAGCTTTCTGAGTACGGGCCAGGCCAGCTGCGATCCCCTCTGACCCTCGGGTTCGCCTCTCCGAACTCCAGTTCTCTCTGAGCCCCCGGTCCCCGTTTGAGTATCAAGCCCCTCTCCGAGCCTCAACTCATCCTCCTAGCCCCCATCTAATTCTCCTAGCCCACCCTACTCTTCCTGAACCCCAGGCCCACTCCCAGCCCCTCCCGAGCCCCTTCTGAACCCGGACACCACGCCCGTTGAGCCCCCGCCTGTCCCTGCCGTGGGCCCCTCTCTGACCCCCTGTCCTGGCCTCAGGCCTGCTCTTCCAGGTGCTGAGCGTGTTGTTATCCCTGGCAGGAGACGTGCTGGTCAGCATGTACAGGTCAGAGGGAGGGACGCTGGCACCCCAGGGGCCGCTCTTTGGAGGAGGTGGGGAGCAGGGCCGGGACCTTGCTGGCGCTTGAGCCGATTCAGATCTGATTAAGTCGTGTTGGCAGGAGCTGGGTCTAGGACCATGGGGTGGGGACTGGAGGGCTGAGCAGGTCGGGGCCTCAGCCTCCCTCCGGTTCCCCAGGGAGGTCTGTTCCATCCGCTTCCTGTTCACGGCTGTGTCGCTGCTGAGCCTCTTTCTGGCAGGTGAGGGGCAGTGAATTCCCTGGAGCCCCTGCCCTGGGTGCTTTGGAGGCAAACCCAGCACATTTTCTCCTACATCCTCGCTCCTGCAGCTCCTGGCATTCCCCTGCAGAGCCCTCTAGTTTCCCCTCAGACTCCCACTGTCCTCCCCAGGCTTAACCCCCTCAAGCCTCTTTCCACTGTCCCCCTATGCCGGGGAAACCCATTCTCTTCCTTTTCCTTCCCCTGAGACCCCTCCCCCTCTTTCTCCAGCAATCTGGCTGGGGCTTCTGTACCTGGTCTCTCCTTTGGAGAATGTGAGTTGGGGAGACTGTCCTGGGGTAGGGGGCTGGCAGGTTGTGAATCTGGAGATTGTGGGGGTCCCCTGTACTGTTGGTCTGCTGGGGTGGGGGTAGTGCCAGAGGCTACAATCCTTAAGAAGGGCTGGATAGAAAGAGATTTATGAGGGATTGTGCTTGAGGGGCTCTTGGGCGTTCTGATACTGGGAGGTCAAGGAGGAGTTGAGGAAAGGGGACACAGTCTTCAAAAAGGAAGCCCTGGCCGTTTCCAGGCTGAGGTAGGAGCAAGGACGACGGGAGCTGAGCGGCTCTGTGTTTTGTCCCTTCATCCAACAGGAACCTAATGAGATGCTGACTCTAAGGTGAAAGGGGGCACCTAGGGTGGGAAATTGGGGGGCTCAAAGTTGCTTCTTTGAGAACCTTGAAGGCGTGGGGGCCTTTGGGAGGTGTCCAGGGGGACAGGGAGCCAACCCCACGGCGCCCACCTCCCACCTCCAGTGAGTACCACGAGCGCGTGCGCTCCCAGGGGCAGCAGCTGCAACAGCTCCAGGCCGAGCTGGATAAACTCCACAAGGAGGTATCCACTGTTCGGGCAGCCAACAGTGAGGTGAGCCTGGGCCCACCTTGGAAACCCCTGATGGATCCGTGCTCCCAGGGTCCTGCGACTTAAGCTCCGCCCAGAGCCCTGCGGGATTTCTCCCAGGGCCCACGAAGTCCGCCCCAAAGCAACCAGCTCCCAGAGGTCCCGCCCACCTGTAAAAGCAGCCCGCAAGCCTCGCCCCTCCAGGCCTCGCTCTCCCTCCTTGCAGAGAGTGGCCAAGCTCGTGTTCCAGAGGCTGAATGAGGACTTTGTGCGGAAGCCCGACTATGCGCTGAGCTCTGTGGGTAAGACCCGGAGACACTGGAAGACAGAGACGCAGACAGGAAAGAGGCCAAGACCCTGACACAGACATTCCCATGCACCTGACCGGCAGAAGACAGAGCCTCGGACAGCCCCCACTCTGTCCCCGCGCCCCGACTCCTGGCAAGGCCTGGGAGCCTCTGAGGGTACTTCTCCCTTTTCCAGGAGCCTCCATCGACCTGCAGAAGACATCCCACGACTACGCAGACAGGAACACTGCCTACTTCTGGAATCGCTTCAGCTTCTGGAACTACGCACGGCCGCCCACGGTTATCCTGGAGGTGGGTCTGGAAACATCCCGGGATGTGACCCGGGGCGGGACTCTGGGGAAAGCACCAAAACCTCGCCCTGCAGGCGGAGCCTGGCTGAGTCGAGGGCGTGGCGCTAGGCGGGGCCTGGCTTGGCCTGGGTGGGGCTCTGGACGAGCCCGAGGACCGCCTTTAACTCAAGGAGAGACCTGGCAATGCTGGGGACTGGACCCTGGGAGGGCTGGAGGTGGAGCTCTGGGCGGGCCGATGGATGCGGTCCAGCTGAGGCCCGGGCTGGGGAGTGGCAACAGTCGCTCTCTCCGACGATTCTGATGGTCCCTCCGCCCACCTGCAGCCTCACGTGTTCCCCGGGAATTGCTGGGCTTTTGAAGGCGACCAAGGCCAGGTGGTGATCCAACTGCCGGGCCGAGTGCAGCTGAGCGACATCACTCTGCAGCATCCACCGCCCAGCGTGGAGCACACCGGAGGAGCCAACAGCGCCCCCCGCGATTTCGCGGTCTTTGTGAGTGCGGACGAGGTCAGGAGGTGGGGGATTTTGCTTAGACAGCCCCAAGCAGTCTTGAGAACTGGTGCCATTATCTGAGTCTTGGCTTGCTCATCTATAAAATGGAGATACTACTGTTTGCCTCTCAGAGCTGCTGTAGCTCTTTATAGTCATAACCATATCCAGAAATTAGTTATTGCTTGCACAGCACTTACTCCCTGCCAAGCAGTTTACATGCATTCTTATTTTGTCGTTGTTTTTGAGACAGAGTCTCACTCTTGTCACCCAGGCTGCTGGAGTGCAGTGGAGCGATCTCAGCTCACTGCAACCTCAGCCTCTGGGGTTCAAGCGATTTTTGTGCCTCATCCTCCCAAGTAGCTGGAATTACAGGCGTGCGCCACCGCGCCCGGCTAATTTTTGTATTTTTAGTAGAGATGGGGTTTCACCATGTTGGCCAGGATGGTCTTAAAACTCCTGACCTCAAGTGATCCGCCCGCCTCGGCCTCCTGAAATGCTAGGATTACAGGCATGAGCCACCACACCTGCTTTGCACCCATATAACAACCTATGATGTACTGTTCTCTCTCCCTTTAAAGATGAAGAAAGTAACGCTCAGAGAGGGGACGTTATTTGTACAAGGTAACACAACTAACTGTTGGCAGGACTAAAATTTAAAACCTGGTTTCTTCCCAGGAGGCGGAGCTTGCACTGAGCAGAGATCGCGCCACTGCACTCCAGCCTGGGTGATAGAGTAAGACGCTGTCTCAAAAAAATAAAAAATAAAACCTGGTTTCTTAGAGCCCACATTCTGAATTACAGTATACAACCATCAAAAAATACATAAGAACATGCATATAGCTATTGAATACACAGAAGATCCTCAGCAAAGTTTTCTTCTCCCCCCTCCACCTGTCCCCCTCATGGTTCCTCCTTTCACTCTTCACCCACCAGGGCCTCCAGGTTGATGATGAAACTGAAGTTTTCTTGGGGAAATTCACCTTCGATGTTGAGAAATCGGAGATTCAGACTTTCCACCTGCATGTGTGTTTGTCTCTAGGGTGAAGGTGCCAAGGGAGTGGGGCAGTGAGGGATGAATTACCCAGGAGGGCAGCCCTTGGCATGATCCATTTGTCTCCCCAGAATGACCCCCCAGCTGCCTTTCCCAAGGTGAAGATCCAGATTCTAAGCAACTGGGGCCACCCCCGTTTCACATGCTTGTATCGAGTCCGTGCCCATGGTGTGCGAACCTCAGAGGGGGCAGAGGGCAGTGCCACAGGGGGGCCCCATTAAACGTGCTGATTGTTGGAGTAGAATTGAGTTCCGCTGAAGGATGCTGATCAGTGCTTTGGGGGGCTCTTGTTGGGAGAGCTCTGGCTGCTGTTGCATCTAAGTATGGTGGGGTTGACTTCCCAATGCATCCTCTTTTCTTAGAGAAGTCTAGACCAAGGTCGTAATAGCAGCTTCTGTTTATGGAGTGCCTACCATGTACAACAAACAGTGCTGTGGACATTACACACATTACCTAACTTAATTCTCACAACCAGAGAGGGAAGCTGCTCAGGTCAGGAAACTTGTTCAATGTCACACAGCTAGTGAAAGGCAGCGCCAGAGCAGTACCCAGGCCCACCTTCCTCCAGAGGCATTCCTCTAACCACAGAACTGCAGGCAGCCTGAACCCACCTTTGTGCTCAAGCCCCAGTGGGAAAGTCCCCAACTCCTGCTAGGTACAGGTGGAGGGGTAGCTACCCCCTTTCTGCAGGCACACACTCAAAAGCTAAGGAGACTTGAGAATCTCTAGGAAGCTTCTGAGTCAGAGCTGATGCAGGCCTGGTAGCCCCAGTGTAGGTTGTCCTTACTGAGACCTGAGTTCCCAACACTGAGGCACAGGATAGATGATTTAGTGTTCACCAGGCCCTGCCCTCAAGGAGCCTGACAGGGGAACGAAGAGGCTCCAGGAAACAGGACAATGCATTTACAGATCCAAGAATTCTTCACTCTAAGAGTCAAAAGTGGAATTGCAGGGAAAAAAGACGAAGGAGAAGGCAACAAAGGATTAATGAATTCTACCTAGGGGTAGGAAAGGAGGACCAGCATGAGCAAAAAAACATGCACCATCTTGGAGGGCAATTTGCAGTATCTATTAAAATTTTAAATATACACTTTGATCTAGCACTTCCACTTTTAGGAACAAATTCTTCAGAAACATTCCTGTTAAGTGCACAAAGATACATGTACAAAGATGTTCATTATCGCATTGTTTGAAAAAAACTAGGATTCAAATCTCCAGGAATAAGAGACTGGTGCACTCCTACAAAAAAATAAAGATGTAGGCATTAACACCTTCCCAGCTTTAGAAGAATATGCAGACTATTAATAGTGTTTATACCTTTAAGAGGTGAAATTCAGCCTAGTGCAGTATCTCATGCCTGTAGTCCCAGCACTTTGGGAGGCTGAGGCAGGTAGGTCATGAGGTCAGGAGATCCAGACCATCCTGGCCAACATGGTGAAACCCCATCTCTACTAAAAATACAAAAATTAGCTGGGCGTGGTGGCACATGCCTACAGTCCCAGCTACTTGGGACACTGAGGCAGGAAATCACTTGAACCGGGAGGCGGAGGTTGCAGTGGGCCAAGATCGTGCCACTTCACTCTAGCCTGGTGACAGAGTGAGACTCCATCTCAAATAAATAAATAAATAATCTGGGGAATTTTTAGAATTATGAATGAATGCAGCTTTTCTGGAGGGTAGTTTCACAACAGGAACCAAAAGCCTTACAAATTTTTGTACTCTTTACTCACAGCAATTCCATTTCTAAGAATGTATCCAAAGAATACATAGATGTATTCAAAGGTAATATTTATAAGGAAATTTAACACAGTGTTGTTTATAAAGAAAATTGGAAACTTAGTAACCAAGTAGATAAATTGTTATAAAAACTAAGCAGCCAATAGAAATGGTAATATAAGAGAATGTCTGAAGTCATTGAAAGTAATTAATGATATATAGGCCGGGCATGGCGGCTCATACCTGTAATCCCAGCACTTTGGGAGGCTGAAGTGGGAGGATCACATGAGGTTGAGAGTTCGAGACCAGTCTGGCCAACATTGTGAAACCCCATCTCTACTAAAAATACAAAAATTACTTGGACATGCTGGTGCGTGCCTGTAATCCCAGCTACTAGGGAGGCTGAGGCAGGAGAATCGCTTGAACCTGGGAGGCAGAGGTTGCAGTGAGCTGAGATCGTACCACTGCACGCCAGCCTGGGCAACACAGCAAGACTCTGTCTAAATAGTAATAATAATAAATGATATATGGATAACTTTTTAAAAAGTTAAACTGGCATAAATAAAAAGATAATATTTCCATATTAAAACAGTTCTATATGCCAAAGGATACTATAAATAAAAAGACAACAACCTGGGAAGAAATGTTTTCAACATGTATGAGATTAAGGGCTAATAACCTTAAAATAAAAGCTATAACACATACATGCAGACTATGAATAGGCTATTGAGAATAACTATAATTTACAAATAACCATATAAGATGTTACCTATCCTTCATATTTAAATAAATTCAAGCTGGGCGTGGTGGCTCACGCCTGTAATTCCAGCACTTTGGGAGGCCGAGGTGGGCGGATCACGAGGTCAGGAGTTTGAGACCAGCCTGACCAACATGGTGAAACATGGCGCACGCCTGTAATCCCAGCTACTCAGGAGACTGAGGCAGCAGAATCTCTTGAACCTGGGAGGCAGAGGTTGCAGTGAGCTGAGATTGTGCCACTGCACTCCAGCCTGGGCAACAGAGTGAGACTCGGTCACAAAAAAAAAAAAAAGTGAAAAATAAAATAAATAAATTCAAACTAAAAATTATTTTTTGCTTCTTTTTTACCTGTCAGATTAACAAAAGGGGTAAGTTTGACCATAATTTTTGTTATGAAGGATAATTTGCAATATCTATTAAAATTTTAAGTATAACCTTTGATATAGCATTTCCACTTTTAGGAACAAATTCTTCAGAAACATTCTGGTTAAGTGCACAGACATATATGTGCAAGGATGTTCATTATAGCACTGAAATAAACTAGGACTCAAATCTCCATAAATAAGAGATTAGCTAAATAAACTAAGGTATACTCCTACAAAAAAAAAAAAAAAAAAAAAAAAAAGATGGCCAAGTGCAGTGGCTTATGCCGGTAATCCCAGCACTTTGGGAGGCCAAGGTGGGCAGATCACCTGAGGTCTCAAGTTCAAGACCAGCCAACATGGTAAAACCACATCTCTACTAAAAATAACAAGAATTAGCCAGGTGTAGTGGTACATGCCTGTAGTCCCAGCTACTTGGGAGGCAGAGGCAGGAGAATCGCTTGAACCCAGAAGGCAGAAGTTGCAGTGAGCCGAGATCGCGATATTGCACTCCAGCCTAGGCAATAGAGAGACTACGTCTCAACAAAAAAAGGAATGAAGCAATAGGTTCTGATAGGTAAGACACCCAAAATGTGTTAAATAAAAAGGTGTAAGTAGTATGTATAAATATCCCATTTATAAAAATCTGTTTTCCAGATCTAGGAAAAATGGGGGCCCTTACCTGCTCCACTATTTGTACAATATTTATATTTGAAATAACTTCAGATAACAAGCACACATTTTAAAATTAGAAAAACAAATTTTAACAAATGCTAAAACAATATGTGTAGACAAAAAGTTATATGCCCAATATGTTTTATCAGGACATGGTAGTTTGAGTGGTATTTTTTCTGTACTTAAAATTTTTCTTTTCTTTTCTGAGACAGAATCTCACTCTGTAGCTCAGGCTGGGGTGCAGTGGTGCAATACTGGCTCTCTGCAACCTCCGCCTCCTGAGTTCAAGTGATTCTCCTGCCTCAGCCTCCTGAGTAGTTGGAATTATAGGCACCTGCCACCACACCCAGCTAATTTCTGTACTTTTAGTAGAGATGGGGTTTCATCATGTTGGCCAGGCTGGTCTTGAACTCCTGACCTCAAATGATCTCAAATCCCAAAGTGCTGGGATTACAGGCATGAGCCACCACGCCCAGCCAGAATTTTTCTACAATGAATACATGTATTCTCTATTAAGAAAAAATTAGCTCTTAAAAAAATTCAGGATTTTCACCTGTCTTTAGGACGAAAATTATTACTACTCCCTCCCCTCCAGGAAGTCTACATAGCCTTTGCTCCACCTTAAAACTCATCCTTTCTTCTCCTTTTGCTGCTTTTTATGAAGTCTGACACTTTCCATCTTTGTGTTCCCAGACCAGCTCTGCCCTGAGGGAGGGAAGGTGAAGGCTGGGTGTTTAGCTTACATTCAAACTTTGTATTTCCTTTTCTTGTGCGTGAAATGGGGTCTTGCGATGTTGCCCAGACCTGGTCTGGAACTCCTGGGCTCAAGCAGTCCTCCCACCTCAGCCTCCCAAGCTGAGGACTACAGGCACATCACACCGTCCCTGGCTGTATTTTCAAAAACAGTGAGTCAGTGTCTCTAGAATGAATAGGTTCTGCCCAGAAATACTCAAGTTTGAGTGGGGCTTTACACCACAGGCATCCTTCACTTAACAACCCCTAAGTCAACAAACAGGTGCAGAGAAGGGATATAAACATTGCTAATAGCAGCCTCCGACCTAAAATTTACACACACACAGTGGTGGCAAAGCATTGGTCTTCACTGGTCTTTATTGAATGAAGGTTGTCAGGAGCAAGCAGGTGGGATCAAAAGCAGCAAAAGCAGAAACGAGTATAAAAGTATCAAAAAATACAAAGTGCTAGCACTGAGGAGAGTGTGAAGGGTTGGGCTGGGGCCCTGAGGGACCTCTGGGACACAGGATTCAGGACTTGCCACAGCCTCTAAGGGGACCTAGGCCTGGGGGGCCTGTGCAGGACCCTTGGCGGAGGGTGGAAGTGGCTTGAGTGGGGCCCAACCCTGGGCCCTGAAGTATGAGACCAGTTGTGTGGGCACTTCTGCGAGTACAGTCTGTGCCAATGCCTCCCGAGGGGCCTGCCAAGAAAAGGGAAAGGTCAGTGGTGGCCCAGAACAGCTGCCCAAAGTCTGCATTTCATACCCAAGAACCCAACCATACCCCACACTTAGAGGAAAAGGTGAGCATCCCTTGGGCCTAAATCCTACTCACATCAGGGAAAGGTGAAAGGGTAAACTCCCAGATCAAATTTGTACCCACTTACATTCTGGAACCGGCGGTAGGGTACAAACTGCACAATGTCGCGGGCAGCGGCCTGCCCAGAACGTGTATGCAGGGGTCCACCATCAGCATCCAGCTGCTCCATGGCCTCAAAGTCAGCAC